GTAGAATCTGCTGAGAGCGATCAATGAATGGGTGAATGCTTTCTTGTTTGGTATTTGCACTGCTCAGTTGACGGAGATTTATTCGGAGAGTAAGGGGGTCACAGATGATGAGCAGCAACTCTTGTACGGAAAAAGGCATTATTTACGGAACATCCGTGTGCACAGATTGGTACGGACGAGTGAGAGTAAACAATCATGACGATAAAAGCGATTGTAACTGAGATTTAATCATGCGGTAGCTTTACCGTTCCAGGAGGTCATTTAAACACGAATAAGAGTAGTGAGAAGAAAAGAGACGATATGTGCTTGTCTGTCTGTCGATCGGTCTGCACAAACACGCAAATCAGACAGAAGTAGGGAGAGAATTGGCACTATTCTTCAGTTACTACAATCACTTCGATCTTCAACGATATTGTGCAGACGATGAGGACGATTCCGAGAGATGGCACGGATGTACCTGTGCACAGATGCACTTGTTTTGTTTGTGTGTGTGTGTGTGTGTGCGTGTAGAACTACAAGTGCCCCGTTTGTTTGTTTTCCGGGTTGAAGTTGAGCACCAAAATTTCTGTTACTACACACAGCTTGACACCTCTTCAAAACACGCTCATACAGGAATATCGTCCGTTCACTTTTGGTCTTCACGCGAAGCGAGATTAAACAGATCAAATGAGATCAACTGAGGCAACCTGGTTTCACCACCGAACGATTTGTTGCTGAAACACTGATGCAAAGTTCACTTGAAGTTAGTTCCACATACAAACACACACGAGAGCGAGAGAGAGACAACGCAGGTTTTGAGATCTGTGGTGTTGATCGTCGCGTAGATCGAGCCGACTTAGATCATTTTGCTTAGTCCCTCGGCTGAGTTACAGCAACTTTCTGCTGTGTACACGTTTACGAACATACGTGGACACATGCACACACAAACTCATGCATGCGAGTCATCTGAATGTGGACGGGTTGACTTCCCCGCGAAGCGAAAATCAATGTCTCACGCCACACAAGCTCGAAGAAATCGTCGGCACACAAGACGTGCCAGGTGATTTGCGTATGTATATGTGTGTATGAAGTTTCCTCGTCGCTGTTGCCTGATTGGTGCGCATATGTGAGCTTCCTCTGTTCCGCTATGTGAGAATGCACACGACTGTCTGTGTGCGTGCGTGTGTCCATGTGTGCAGATTAGTGATTCGAGCCTCTGTGTGTATGTGTATATGCTCATACATGCCCAACGCTTTGCTCACACTTTCGAGGAAAGAAGCCTGACAACTCCCGACTGCGAGAACGCACGTGCAAGCTTGTTTGCTCAACGACAGATAAGGAGAGCCGGAGAGAGAGAGAGAGACGGGGAGAGAGTTGTGCTGTCGGACCATTCGTATGTCACTTTGTTCTCGCATATATCTGACGGCGTTCTGTTTGCTCATGGTCGAAGTGAGCAGGCAAGCATGAAGTGAATATGCAGTTGAAATGCGAGGGTGGGAGGAATGACAGGACAAAGAGAAGGGTTGATGGTGTGTGGGGGGGGGGTGGCGGATGAGAGTAAACATGTGTATAATGTGATATGACCAATCCGGAGCTTTACTCACTCACTCTCACTCTCTTTCCCTTTGTCCGTCCCCGCTTCTAAACTTCAAACCACACCTACTGCACAATCCATTTCCATTTTTGAGACTCTCCTCCCCTTAGAACAGTTATTCGTTCTGTTTCACTAACAAAATGTACACGTATGTATAAACTGCCCTGAGGCCAACAACTTGAGGACCACCACGTTATCAGATTGCTCACGAATCGTTTAGCTCCGTGAATGAGAATCGATCAATGAACACAATTTAGGCGTCAAACCGATTCGAATTCTGCATGGGATCCAGTCATTCCATTCAATAAAGAATTAAAACTGGAGTATAATCGTACAAGCTGCTGTTCGCAACCTAATTGAATCAACAAACAAAACAGGTGATTTACATTGAGGGAATATAGGTGAGAAGGCGAAAGACAAAGTGAGAGAGATGCTCATTTGAAACCGTATACAGAGAAATATTTCCTGAAGTTGATCGTTTTGGAGTGCATAATGCACTGTAATCGTATTTGTATTGTATTTATATGACTTTTACAGATATTCAGTTGAATTGTATTTAAAACCAATAATGGTATGGAGAAGATAAAGAAATATTTTAACAACACGAACAACAGAAGTAAATGAAGTTGTACATCAGATTTAGTACAGTCAGTAACTTCTCTGTGCACATAACATAAGAGATAAATGTGGAACAGCTTAGTTCTTATAGATGCAAGAGGCACTATACGAGTAACTAGAAAGTGTTCTTGCGTTGTATAGACAGGAAAACAGTTTTAGGAGCAACAAGTGGACTTTATTCTAAAGTACTTTGTGTGCCAACTTGATACACTATTTATGTCCATCATCTGTCCATCAATAAACTTACAGGCGGAGTCCTTAAAGGAAAAGAGGGAAATCTAAGAATTACAAACAAACAAAGTTCAGGGCATACTAGAGGAGAATGCTGAAGTAGCATTCGGAGAACTCAGGGGCAAGCATATGTACACATAATCGATCGTGGAAAATGAAACTGTCTGGGTTTACGAAAAGGAAATGACACTTTTCGTCGTAGTTTGCAAACGCACAGCTGAATGGGCTAGTTCCATCGAGGTTCACTCACTTCCTATTGGTTTATGGAGTCCACTCTATGGAGAAAGTTGGCATCATGGTGAATTGGTGAAGACACAATGCGGACATTTAAATGGTTTCAATGAAAGTCCAAAAGGAAAGAGACCAGTGTCTGACACGTTCTCCAAAAATCTATTGAGAGCAGCAACATCGGGTACAGGTCGGCACAAAACAGTACTACCCGCATACTTTGAAACCTGAACCGGAGAGAAGTCATAAAGATCACGGATGTCAATAGAAAATGGCAGAGATGCCCCCCTAAACAATCCGGAACTGTTAACAGAAATCGTGTTTGATTAGGTGCACTGTACTTTCTCGATGATTTAGTCAGGTATCCATCGTTTTGGACTATATATATATATATATATATATATATATATATATATATATATATGT